GTGGAAGTTGGACTCTATGTGAAGACGGTCCGACATGACCCCGTAAACTGTCTTTTACAACGGTCCGACATGACCCCGTAAACTGTCTTTTACAACGGTCCGACATGACCCCGTAAACTGTCTGCTACAACGGTCCGACACGACCATACAGTGTCTCTTATCCCATTTTTAATTGTCAGCTTATTTTTCTGTTTTGTTACTCTCTCCAAATTCAAGTTGGCTAGTACCTATCCTCCTTGAGTTTGAGGGGGGCTGTTAATGTACACTAAACCTAACCCACTAACCTAACCCACTACATCCACCCCACTAAACCTAACACACTTACCATCTCCACTACCACCCACCACCTCCACTACCATCCACTACCACCACTCACTTACCTCACACCTCTCCTATATAATAGCTTGTAACATACAAATCAATCAATAACAATCAATAATACATAAATTCTTACACACGGTATGAAGTCATCTTCTCACACAAACGCACCATCTCTCTCTCCGGGGTCTCTCTCGGCAACACCCAACAAGACATAGTTTCACTCTCTCTCTTTTGCAACCAGAAAAGCTCATGCAGCCACCAAACCAGACCAACCCAATGAGACTGACTAGCACAAGTGCTGCCATCTTCAAACTATCTTCACTACAGCGCCCTCTCTCTCTCTCTCTGGAGGGGAGCTTCTCAGGGGGTTGAGCAAAACAAAAACACACGCACGGGAGAACACACACATACCGCTCTCTCTCTTTCACGGCACCGAGCCACCACCACCGCTCCTTTCTTCAGCTCCTTGGACGCTGCTGCTGCCCTTGTTTTCTCCTGTATGGGAGCTGCGTAATGAACAGCGAAGAGTGGTGTTGGTGTTGCGTCGGTGGGTTGATGAGCTCCGGCTGTGGGTGGCGCCTTGGCCGTCCGTTTTGTTCGGAAAACTCAAGTTCAATGCTTTTTGGTGATTGGTGGTCGCCTGGTGGACTCTACGGGCTGGCTGATATGGTTCGTTAATGCTGATTTCTTGCTTTTGGTGCATTGGATCATCAGAGAGACTAATGAACATAGCTTAACTGTTGGAAAAATGGTGTGATAAGGCTTATTTTGGGCCATTTTTTAGCCCAAAATAGAATGGCCCCAAACGTCTTTTGGGGTGGGTCTGAAAAGGTGACATGTTCGTTGCCGTGTGGCAAATCACACGGTGAAGACGGTTTGTCAAAACTATTTATGAGTGAATGAGAACTTAACGTCATTTTCGGGTTCGTAGAATGGACATTTAAAAAATGAAATGTGACCTTCCTTGAAATGAGTTGTCCCACATTGAAACTTTAAGAGAACTTTTTTGTGTATATAAGCTCTAGACTACAACACTTGGGTTGGGTCCCAAGGGGCACCCAAAGTTTGTAGAAGGGAGGAGTTATAGACAAAGTCAACCTTAGCATAAACCACCACACGCACGCCACCCTGTCGGGCGCAGGTGTGGAGTGTGGGTCGGGTCAGTTTTAATATTAATTTTTTGGACAAAATTCTTTTGAAGTTTTTCAAAAATTATTGTAGGAATTTAATTCCAAATTTGAATTTGAAATTCAAATTTTTGTCTATAATTTTGTGCCTCTTTTCTGAACCAAATTCCACAGCAGATTTTTAAGCATGAACTGGTTTTTTAATCTGTTCAAATCCAAACAGATTCAGATTCAAAAATCTGGACAGTTAACAGTTAGCAGTTGCAGATCTGTTTGAATAGTAATTGTACCTGTTCATTTACTTCTTCAACAGATTTATTTTCAAACAGATTTAAACTGTTTTGACAGGTTTATAATTGCCAGAAACTGCCCAGCAGTTTACAGATTAATTTGTGTCTAGATCTGTTCAAATTTTGAATATGTATCCATTCAAATAGTGTAGTATATGTTCAGTTTAAATGCTGCACCTGTTGGATTCAAAATTACACAGGTTCGGTCCTATTTATACCTGGGCTATTCCAGCATTTTCCACATTCGGAAAACAGTCTACAAAATTTATTTTTGCTGTCTAAGTTTGCTGTTTAGTTGTATTATTCTTTATATAATTTTAGGGAAAAAATAAAGAAAGTATAGAATATAGGTTCTAGTTCGCCGGACAAATTTGTTTACAGTGCTACTACAAATTTGTGAAGATCATTGTATCCTAGGAGATAGACACCACTTAACCATAAGCACCGTAGCGGGGTGAATCTGTCTTAAGGACAGAGTGTCACACACCCGGCTTGGTCTTTTATTTTTCATTCGGTTCGATAAAATAAATTATGTAAGTTATTTATTTTATTTTGTTTGATTTAGTTTCAATTTATTTTATTTACATAGAAAATTATTCCAACAATCTTAAGACAGACTCGAATTATTCTGTTTACATAATTTTTCGTTTGTTTCTCTTTCTCTTTCTCTTTCTCTTTCTTCTTTTATAAAAATTATTTTCCGTGGATTTACAAAATAACATTCTAGTTGGAAAAACAAATAGTGATTATATGCTATTTGACAGATAGTAGTAATATACTGTCTATTTTCTTTGACATCTAGTAATAATATACTGGTGTCATTAACAATTCAGAATATTTATTTGTCGAATTTTGTCAGAAATTAATTTTGATTTTTAGAAATTATTTTCTGAGTGTTCATTAATTAAAATTCTGTTTTATTTTTTTTAATTATTGAAGTGTTACATGAATTTAATTTCCTGTGTGGAATTAATTTGGTTAAATAAAATTTTATTTTATTTCTAAATTAATTGAAAAATAAAAGCTACATTTCTTGTTCCTTTTATTTTTACAGAATTTAATTCTGTGAATTTGGTTTAATTTTTTGTGTAGATATAAATTCTAATTCTAATTTTATTTTATAATTTAGAATTCATGGCTACTGAAACTAATGCCCAAACAAGTACTAGTGTGGTGGCTGCAATTGCGCCAACCTCCTCTCCTGTTGTGACAGTACCGGTAAATTACGGTGAGAAGCCAGAGAAGTTATCAGGAACTGATTTTAAAAGATGACAACAGAAAATATTGTTCTATCTTACAACTCTAAACCTGGCTCGTTTTTTTCGTGAGGATGCTCCTATTTTGAAAGAGGATGAAACTAATTGACAAGTGATTACTACGGTCGATGCCTGAAAACATGATGATTTCCTTTGCCGGAACTACATCTTGAACGGACTTGACAACACATTATACAACGTCTACAGTCCTATCAAGATAGCAAAGGATCTATGGGAGTCGTTGGAGAAAAAGTACAAAACGGAAGATGCCGGCTCAAAGAAATTTGTGGTTGGCAAATTCCTGGACTTTGTAATGGTTGATTCTAAAACTGTGATCAGCCAAGTTTAAGATCTCTAACCCATTCTGCATGACATTCACACAGAGGGCATGTCTTTTAGTGAATCCTTCCAAGTTGCAGCCTTAATTGAAAAATTACCACAAGGTTTAAAGGAATTCAAGAACTACCTCAAACACAAGCGCAAAGAAATGTCTTTGGAAGAATTATTTGTGCGTTTGAGGATTGAGGAGGACAACCGCAATTCAAAGAAGCGGGCTGGTAAGCATCCTATGAAATCTAAGGCAAATGTGGTGGAACATGCTCCAAAAACAAAGAAACGTAAGTTTTCTGGAGAAAGTTCATCACAAGGCTCTAAAGGAGGGGAAGTTAAAAAGTACAAGTTTAATGGCAAGTGTTACATCTGTGATAAAGAGGGACATCGGGCCATAGGTTGCTGTAGCAAAGGCAAAAGCAAATGCAAAAGAAGAACAAGCAAGAAGCCTGCTCAAGCTCATATGACTAAAGTGGACAATATTTCCAATGGTGTAGATGACATCAATCTTTCTGCAGTTGTTTCCGAGACAAACCTTGTCAGAAATCCTAAAGAATGGTGGGTGGACACTGGTGCTACTCGCCATATCTGTGTCGACAAAAAGATGTTCACATCTTATTCTACAGTGGACAACGGTGAACAACTTTTTATGGTCAACTCCTCAACTTCCAAAGTTGAAGGACAAGGAAAGATTGTACTTAAGATGGCATCAGGAAAGGAACTCACTCTCAACAATGTGCTGCATGTACCAGACATTTGCAAGAATCTTGTTTCTGAATCTTTGTTGAGTAAAAATGGGTTTAGGCTAGTATTTGAGAGTGATAAATTTGTACTTACTAAAAATGGGATGTATGTAGGAAAAAGTTAAATGTCTGATGACCTTTTCAAGATGAATGTAATGACCGTTGTACCATCTGTTATTAATAAAAATACATCTTCTTCTTACTTGCTTGAGTCTTCAAATTTATGACATGGTAGACTAGGACATGTTCATTATGGATCTTTACGTAGATTAATTAATATGGAATGTTTACCTAAATTTGACATTGATTCAAATCATAAATGTGAAATTTGCGATGAGGCAAAATTATCTAAAACTCCTTTTCATTCAATTGAAAAAAGTACGGAACCACTTGAATTAATTCATAGTGACGTTTGTGATTTTAAATCAATTCAAACCAGAGGTGGGAAAAAATATTTTATCACTTTTATATACGACTATACTAGATATAGTTATGTTTATTTAATTCGAACCAAGGATGAAACTTTGGAAACTTTCATTCAATATAAGAATGAAGTTGAAAATCAACTTGGTAAGAAAATCAAAAAACTAAGAAGTGATAGAGGTAGTGAATATGAATCACCTTTTGGTAAGTTTTGTAAAAAACATGGAATAATTCATCAAACCACCGCTCCTTACTCACCTCAGCAAAATGGAATTGCTGAAAGGAAAAATAGGACTTTAAAAGAAATGATGAATGTCATGTTAATAAGTTCTGGATTACCTCAGAACTTGTGGGGGGAAGCAATACTTTCTGCTAATTATATACTTAATAAAGTACCCCGAAAGAAAGTGAATCAAACACCTTATGAATTGTGGCATGGAAGAGTATCATCCTACAAATACTTAAAAGTGTGGGAGTGTTTGGCTAAAGTGGCTATTCCTAGTCCTAAAAAGACTAAGATAGGTCCTAAAACCCTTGATTGCATTTTCATTAGTTATGCCAAGAATAGTAGTGCATATCGATTTTTTATTCATAAATCAGAACATTCCGAAATGCATGTAAATACTATTATTGAAACTCGGAATGCATCTTTCTTTGAACATGTATTTCCAAATAAGATTGGACAAGAGACTAATAACAATAAAAGATCTCATGATACTATTACTAGTCAGGATCAAGAACAAGAGCAAGAGTTAGATCCAAATGAGGAAGAGGAACCTAGGTGTAGTAAGCGTGCTAGAGCCTCAAAATCTTTTAGTCCAGATTTTCTAACATTTTTGTTAGAAAATGAGCCTTTAACTTTCAAAGAGGCTATGTCCAGTCCTGAGGCTCTTTTATGGAAAAAAGTTGTCAATAGTAAAGTTGAATCCATCTTGCAAAATCACACTTGGGAATTAGTAGATTTGCCACCTGGTTGTAAACCTCTTGGGTACAAGTAGATTTTCAAAAGAAAAATGAAAGCAAATGGATCAATTTACAAATACAAGGCTAGCCTTGTGGCCAAAGGATTTAGACAAAAAAAAGGTCTAGATTACTTTGACACATACTCGCCGGTTACTAGAATAACATCCATTAGAATGCTAATTGTTATTGCGTCTTTGTACAATCTAGAAATTCATCAAATGGATGTGAAAATCGCTTTCTTAAATGGTGAGTTAGATAAAGAAACTTATATGGAACAACCAGAAGGTTTTTCTGTTCCAGGAAAAGAAAAGAAAGTATGTAAATTGGTTAAATCATTATATGGTTTAAAATAAGCGCCAAACCAATGGCATGAGAAATTTGACAAGGCAATGATGTTAAATGGATTTAAAATTAATAAGTGTGACAAATGTGTTTATATTAAAAATATAGACAAAGGTTATGTCATTGTATGCCTTTATATAGATGATATGCTCATCATAGGTAGTAATAATGATATGATTAAAACTACCAAGAAAATGTTGAATAAACATTTTGACATGAAGGACATGGGCATTGCTAATGTAATTCTTGGTATGAAAATTACCAAAACATCAGAAGGTTATGCTTTGTCACAATCTCATTATATTGAAAAAATACTTGACAAATTCAGCAAAGATGATGATCATCTTGCTAGAACACCTGTAGATGTTAATTTGTTTCTATCTAAGAATGTACAGGGAAGTATTTCTCAGTTAGAGTATGCCCAAATTATTGGAAGCTTAATGTACTCGATAAACTGCACTCGCCCGGATATTGCTTATGCAATAAGTAAATTAAGTAAATATACGAGTAATCGAGGAGTAGAACACTAGAGAGAAATTATAAGGATTCTAAGATATCTCCGATTTACTCGTAACATTGGGCTGAATTATACTAGATATCCAGCAGTACTTGAAGGATACTGTGATGCAAACTGGATATCGGATACTAGAGACTCAAAGTCCACCAGTGGGTATGTCTTTACTCTGGGTGGTGCAGCTGTATCTTGAAAATCTTTCAAATAGACTTGCATAGCTAGGTCTACTATGGAATCAGAATTCATAGCTTTAGACAAAACTGGGGAAGAAGCAGAATGGCTTCGCCACTTCCTTGAAGATATTCCAATATGGCCAAAACCGGTGCCTGCTATTTGCATACATTGTGATAGTCAAACAGCAATTGGTAGAGCACAGAGTCATATGTATAACGGTAAGTCGCGACACATTCGTCGTCGACATAACACTGTAAGACAACTACTCTCTAATGGAATTATTTCCATTGAATATGTGAAGTCTAAAGACAACATAGCGGATCCACTAACCAAAGGGTTAGCAAGAGAGTTAGTTGAAAACTCATCGAGAGGAATGGGACTAAAGCCTATTAAATAAGAGTTACCACAACGGCAACCCAACCTAGTTGGCTGGAGATCCTAAGATCTAGGTTCAAAGGGACAATTGAGTTGTGATTGACTTAGAAGGATCACTGGGGAGTTAAACTCCTACCCATTTCTATGATGAAATAGTGATGTCTGCAGCGTTTTAGGTTAAGTAAAATTTTAATGGTTCTTATATCTAGGTAAACCTAGTGAAGTATGGTAGGATACTCTTCATAAGAATCACCTATGTGAGTGTGAACTGGGCCAGTTCTATGAGATTTGTGAAGGGCTACAATTCTCTAGAGCACTCATAAAAGACCAGGTTGTTCAAGGCCAAAATGAACACAATAGTGAGAACTAAACTGTGTCTGGAGATATACTGTGTGAGTTCTATTGTCTTGGTTTACACAAACGGCTGAACAGTTCAAGACATCATGTTCACTGGTTAGCTAGTATATCCGATAGTGTCTCACAAGGGAAGGTTCAAAGCCAAAAGCTACCTATCATTTGCAGAATATTTCCAATTTATGTACTCTCTGTATTTAGATCATGTTGTTACATTTTCTCTCCGTCAAATTCCATTCATGTGGGGGATTGTTGGAAAAATAGTGTGATAAGGCTTATTTTGGCCATCTTTGAGCCCAAAATAGAGTGGGCCCCAAACGTCTTTTGGGGTGGGTCCGAAAAGGTAACATGTTCGTTGCCACGTGGCAAGTCACACGGTAAAGACTGTTCGTCAAAACCATTTATGAGTGAATGGGAAGTTGACGTCGTTTTCGGGTTCATGGAATGGACATTTAAAGAATGAAATGTGGGTTTCCTTGAAATGGGTTGCCCCACATTGAAACTTTAAGAGAACCTTTTTGTGTATAAAAGCTCTAGACTACAATACTTGGGTTGGGCCCCACAGGACACCCCAAGTTTGTAGAAGGGAGAAGTTATGGACAAAGTGAACCTTAGCCTAAACCACCACACGCGCGCGCCCACTGCCGCTGTCCGTCCGTCCGATCGAACCGAGCCGAACCGAGCCAGGCGTAGGTGTGGATCGGGTCGGTTCTAATATTAATTTTTTGGACAAAATTCTTTTGAAGTTTTTCAAAAATTATTGCAGGAATTTAATTCCAAATTTGAATTTGAAATTCAAATTTTTGTCCATAATTTTGTGCCTCTTTTCTGAACCAAATTCCACAACATATTTTTCAACCCGAACTGGTTTTTTAATCTGTTCAAATCTGGACAGATTCAGATTCAAAAATCTGGACAGTAATAGTTAGCAGTTGCAGATCTGTTTGAATAGTAATTGTACCTGTTCATTTACTTCTTCAACAGATTTATTTTTAAACAGAGTTAAACTATTTTGACAGGTTTATAACTGCCAGAAACTACCCAGCAGTTTACAGATTAATTTGTGTCCAGATCTGTTCAAATTTTGAATCTGTATCTATTCAAACAGTGCAGTATCTGTTCAGTTTAAATGTTGTACCTGTTGGATTCAAAATTACACCTGTTCGGTCCTATTTATACCTGGGCTGTTCCAGCATTTTCTACATCCGAAAAACAGTCTGCAAAATTTACTTTTGCTGTCTAAGTTTGCTCTTTAGTTGCATTATTCTTCATATAATTTTAGGGAAAAAATAAAGAGAGTATAGAACATAGGTTCTAATTCGCCGGACAAATTTGTTTTGAGTGCTACTACAAATTTGTGAAGATCATTGTATTTTGGGAGATAGACACCACTTAATCGTAAGCACCGTAGCGGGGCGAATCTGTCTTAAGGACAGAGTGTCACACACTTGACTTGGTCTTTTATTTTTCATTCGGTTCAATAAAATAAATTGTGTAAGTTATTTATTTTATTTTGTTTGATTTAGTTTGAATTTATTTTATTTACATAGAAGATTGTTCCAACATTAACAGCTTCAACTCTTCAACACCAATTACAACCTCATTGAAGACCCAACAATCAAAGACAGTGCAGGCAAGGCTGTTCCTCAAAAGCTGACTACAAATTCAGAATTTGTAACAAACCCACCTGAAAGAATCAGATCCAAGAAAGCTGCAGTTCTGTTCTGCCTCTTTGAAGATAAAAGAGGAGATATCAGAGTCATTCTTACCAAAAGGTCTTTAACACTGTCCACTAATTTAGGGGATGTGTCCTTGCCAGGTGGGAAGACAGATGAAGGGGATGCCAATGATGTTAAGACAGCACTGAAGGAAGCCAATGAGGAGATTGGCCTGGACCCTTCACTTGTCATTGTTGTCACTATTTTACAACCCTTGGTAACAAAGGTGGGCCCCTCCATTGATGCTTAACGTGGGTTTACTTGGGCTAAGGTTTGTGCATATTATCATATATGCTGCTGAGTGGCAAATGGGGTGAATGGGCCCACGGTAATTTTGTTAAATCATGGGCTAGTATTGAGGTTGGCTACATGGGCTAGTTATATGAATTTGGGCAAATTCTTTGCTAGTGCCACGTGTTGGAATTATAAAATCATTTGAGATCATGTGTTGATGTTGATGTTGATGAGGTGGGGGCCTCCATTGAAGATGAGTTTAAATGGGCTGAATGGCCGAAGGTTTGAAACGTTGGGCTTCATAATTTGGGTTTACCTGTTGGGCCTAATTTCCAGTGGAGAAAAGGAGTGGACTGTGCCAGTGATGAAGTTCTTTATCTTATTTTTATTTTGAGAGTTTGTGAGGATTTTTTCTATTTTGCTGTAATATTTGTTTTCTTCTTCCTCCTCTATTTGGATATGTAATAATTCAAGTATTGTAATAATCCCCCACCTCGCTTCTGTCTATCCTATTCTTTAATCGCTTTCCCTAACTGTACATATGTATATATCTGACATGCCATGCCTATCCATGCTTTGCATTCATGTTTCATGTATCTCGATTCGGCTAAATTTGCATCTTTATGCTTTAATTGATTATCCCATGGTTTTGTGTGTTATCACATGTTTTGCAATATTTCACATGTTATGTTTTAGAAACCGGATCTTTAGGAACATTTTTGTGCATGTATTGTATTAGGATTCTGTGTATAGGATCATGCATATTTCACTAACTTTGTGTTGTAGCTGTTCGAGGGACGTCAGTAAATCTGTGAGTTGTTATGCTTTAGCATCCCGTTTGTACATAATTTTCTTGTTATGTTTAGCATCCTACCATGAGACTAATTGCTTAACTGATAAACTGCTTGAATGCATGTGGATGAAAGCTTGTTGCTTGAATTGGAATGATTCAATGATTGTACGTTTTAAGGCCATTTTGTAATGACAAATTCACAAACTTTAAGCCCACTTTGTCAAGTGGCAAATTCACAAACTTTAAGTTCACTTTGTTAAGTGGCAAATTCAAACTCTTTTCGAAAAACAAACATGAAATTGAATTGTTCCAATTTGAGCAAACTAGTCTATACTTGTATGCTTCACATAGTAAATTTTAGGATTTACTGAATAATCAGAACATGAACATATAAAGAAAATAAAATTCATATCATGGTTTAGTAGAGGCTGATCTTTGATCGGGGTAGCGGGGGTGCTCATTATTGACCTTCCCCTCTCATACCTAAGGTTCCGAGCCAAGCATATTTGGTTACGACGAACAGTGGCCTTGGCACGAGTCATGGGTTTCCTAATTTCCCAAAATATTAGGTTGCGACTCTGAGATCTGATGACGCAGTCCATTTGTGGCACTACTTTTGCAATAAAATGGATTTTTTATAAAGTTTCCAAATCTGGACTCTCATTTATGTTTCACATTGCACTCGTGAGACTAGATCAAAGAGATCTCGAGGGTCCGAACTGTTTAACACGCACGGGTACCCCCCGGGCATGTTACAGTTTTTGGCGACTTTGCTGGGGATTTTATGAAACCTTGACTCGAACTCCATGATATGACTTTTGTTTTCAATTATATGTTTATTGCATTGCATGCATAGGTGCACTTACAGTTCCTGTGTTGCCCAAAAACTAGTGGGAGCACATGCATACTTTTTGTGACGCTACACCTATCTCTACATTACTTTGGAGGCCTTATGTTATAACCTTTTGAGATCTGAAGGTTCTCAGACTTTGAAGAGAGGCTATGTTGACTGTTCTAATTTCCTAAAGATCTTCATTGGTTATGGCCCAAAATGGGAAGATTCCTTACCTTCAACACAATTTTGGAGGTTTTCAATGCTGGTTTAATGGAGGTCTTCCTTCCATGGAGGTTTTCACTTCAGACAATGTCTGGTCTTCAAGGTTCATATGGGTGGCTCAAAATTGTGAAATTTTTTAGACTTTGGTCTTCAAGGCTTCACATGGGTGGAAGTTTAGAGTTTGGTCTTCAAGTTTTCAAACAGAGTGTGGAAAGGAAATGAGGGGTATATGGTGTGTGTACAATAATATTGAGTGAAGGATATAATTGTAATTTATATTGTGTGGATTGAGAAAATTAATCCATAAATAAATTAATAGGGATATGTATTGAGAAAATATGTACACTAAGTTATTTAAGTGTGTAGAAATAGAATTACCCTGAGGTGTCCTTATTAGGTCTAGTGTGTGACCAGTAAGTCCTTTTTCAAATATGGATGGGTATTGGTTAAACAGATATACCCTCACTAGTTAATTAAGAAAGTTTTTTTTTTTTTTGGAATGTGTGACAGATATGGTGTGATACTCCAATGTGACAAGTATTAATGTGACACTCTAACGATAGGACACTCTAAAAAAATTTAAAATTTCTTAGTGTACTTTTCCCAAATGTGACAATGTGGCAGGTATAATGTGACCAAAAAAAAAAAAAAACTTCTTAGTATGCTTTTTTCAAATGTGACAATGTGACGGGTATGTTGTGGCACTCTAAAAAAATTAAAAACTCTTTAGTAAACTTTTCTTAAATGTAACATGTGACATTTTAATGTGGCAGACCCAATCTGATTGAATTACTGCGTGTCTTCACGTCACGCGCCAAAAAAAATTAGAAGTAAGGAATTCACGTCTCACACTGCGCGTGTTAAAAACAACTGAACTTTAAAAAGTTCCTAGTGCGCTTTTCAAACAACGTGACACACAAACACCCAATCACCTTCCCCATATATAATCACACCACTTGTCCCCCAACTATACTAACAATGGCAAAACAGTCAACAAATAATTTAAGGGACCAGCCAATCAAAAAAAAAAAAAAAAAAAACATTTCAGACCTTATGGATTACAAGTCTACAAAACGAGATTTACTAGTCAATTCCCCTTTAAATAAACTATGCATATGAAACATGCATCCACTAATTAAGCCGGACATATAACGCCCCAAATTTCTAGCCCAAATGATAATACAATAATCATGGCTCTTTCAAAGAAAACCGAATATAAATCTTCAAACTTACATTACATGATACAATAGTTCTTCATGCAACAATACATTAATCCAACAACAAGTAAATAAACAAATAAATACCCCTAAGGGGTTTATAAGTTTCCAAGGATTGAGCTTGGTTATACAAAACGGTTATTCAAACGCATACACATACAACCCTTGGCTTACACACAAAGACGCAGCAAAATGAGAGTCTCGTACTCTCAACACACATTTCCTTGCCTCTAGTTAGGCAGCATCATCACATCTTTTCCTGCACAAAAATCTCATAGGGTGAGCATAAAGCCCAATAGGAAATCCTTAACAAAGTATATATATTTTATACAAGTCTCAAGAGATTAAATGCACATGCCATGCTATACCCTTTTAAAAGAAAATCACATCTTCATCTTTGAAAACCATCAAGCTCAATGATGCCATGCAATTTCAATTCTTCAAAACTTAACAATTCATTTCAAGAGCAGTAAATACGACTCTAGTAATCCCTAGGTTGGTGTCTGCAAGTAGATTATACAAGTACTACCAATTTGTCATTTTTACCAGCATTGACTGGAAGGTTCGACACCTATAATCTGTCATTTTTACCAGTATTAACTGGAAGGCTCGACACATATTCAATTTCATCTACACCACCTGTCAAGACTTACCACCAAATTTACCCCAAAACCAATTCATGGAAACTTGTTTCTCAACATTCTTTTCTCAATGCAAGTTTTCAAATCAACTTTCAAAATTCAATGTAATCAAATGAATTGATATGCCAATAATACAAGATGAATATAAATACTTTTATTCTAATTCATCATCCAAGGAATAACACAATTCCCTCTTCTCAAGTATTCTCAACAATTAGTCATTTCAAGACTATTTCAATGTTTTGAACAATAATTTCTAAAATGAACAACAATTCTCATATTCCCTAAAATTCATCATTTATATAAATATAAATAAGAAAATTTTCAAATATCCGTTTATTTTGACACACAAAATAAATATAACAATATCATTCATGGATTTTCAGTCTCTTTAAAAAAATTCCCAAATTCTAGGTTTTCTCACAAAAACTATACAACTCAAATATTTTGAAAAAAAACTTTCCAAAATCATCTTTTCTTCAATCAACGAAGATCAAAACCCATAAAATCATTTTAAAAGAACAAGAGACAAACCGATTTTCAAAATCGCTCAACTTTTTGAATTAACAATCAATTTTCAAAGCTATCGAATGATGATTTCGAAAATCATCTAGATCTTGCAAAAATATATATATAACTCTAAAAAAATCCCTACCTCAAGTTTTGAAGAAGAAATGAGATGAAACCCCCAAAATCAACAGTGTCGAAACTCAATCTTCACTGCACACAACGAAACCCTCAAAAAATTAGCCAACTTTGACAAAAAAAAACCTATGGCAGAACTCTAATGGATCTTGAGAAATCAAGGTTTTGATCCAATTTGGCGTAGGGAAATGTAGAGAGAAGGGAGAGGAAATGTTTTTAGAGAGAGAAAGATATACAAAAGTGATCTGAAATATCATATTCACAAACTGCTATACATGGTCTACTTGAGCGTGGAAAGCCCCGCTCGAGCGTTGAATACACCTTCCCAGTACTTTTGCAGACAGGTCAAACTTCTGGAACCAAACATTCTCCGCTCGTGCGCATAAATGGCCGCTCAAGCAGACAAGCAACTTCGATCCCCGACCTGTCCAGTCGAAGTGGCAAAACATGAAAGAAGGGTTGAAACCGGGATCGTTACAACCTTCCCCCCTTAAAGAATTTCATCCCCGAAATTTCAAATCAAACTATCCAAACAAAGGGGTTTCTAGCGATCAAAACCACGTTATTTCATTTTCAAATCAAATACTAACTCTCAACCAAATTTCGTCATTTCCACCATGATTATCTCATTAACAACAACCTCTCAAATACGCATAAACATAA